ATGGCGTATGAAATGATGATTCTGCTGAAGTGTATTTTCTTTTGAGGAGGAGGAGACTCCCGTTGGGCACTCAACTACTTTTTTTGTTTTGATATCGCTTTTTTACTTCTGGTGTGCGGGTCGGTGTGCGTTCCTCTGCAGGGCTGCTGCCGTTTTTTACTGTGCGTATTACTGTGTGACTTTTCTCTGCCTTTGCTTTGCGTTGACGTGTTGTTAGTTTGTGCTGAAGGCTACACGCAAGTGACAGGAGTGATGGCGATGATGATGACTGGCCGTGTGCTGCTGGTGTGTGCCCTCTGCGTGCTGTGGTGCGGTGCCGGCGGTGGCTACGCGTGGCCGTACAAGGAATGTAAAAGCGACGATAAATCCTGCCTTAATCACGGTCAGCACAAGAGTGTATATAACAGTTCAATTCGATCTTGGTTTTTGGGTGAGACGGATTCGACATCTACGGGATTGCTTGGTTCTTCCACTGGTTCGACTGGAAGTGGCGGTGAAGTCTCACGAAATGGTGCAGGCGGAACTACGAACTCCGCAACAGATCCACAGAAGGGAGGTGCTCAGTCCTCTTTGACTCCATCCCAACATGCGTCAGCCTCTTCTGGCGACTCTTCTCGATCCAAAGAATCCTCTGAGAAAACTGAAGAGACTCCTGGTCCTGTCTCAACCTCCGACAATGATGGCGATGGAGGCCCGAACACAGCCAATCAAGCCCATTTGACTGGTAGTGAGAAACGTGACAGCGGCCATCAAACAGAATACGGAGACACGGACCCCAATTTGCCCCTTGAAGATTCGAAGGACGGTGAAGGCACCCACAGCTCTCCCACGCCACCTCCAGCCAATAAAGCAAATGTACCCCAAGTAACAGCAGAAGGAGAAAAGGCACCGGCGGTGTTGACGAGACAAGAAGAATCGGAAGGAAATCCAGAAGCAGAACCAGAGAATGAACAGCACAGCTCTGCGAGTGGCGTGTCAGTGCCGCAACCAGAAGCAGCACAACAAAGCGAAACTGAGGATGATAATACGACGGAAAAAACACCAGACGAGGCCGCAGCTCCGAAAAATGGCACAGCGACGACTGGCGACAGTGACGGCAGCACCGCGGTCTCCCACACCACCTCCCATCTTTTGCTTCTTCTTGTTGTTGCGTGTGCGGCTGCGGCTGCGGTGGTGGCCGCGTGAGAGTGAGTGAGAGCCGTGCACCGCCCGCACACACACTCGTCCTTCTCTCTCTGTGTGTGTGTCCCCTTGCATGGACTCTCGCCCTCACCTCACCCCACGAGGCACACACAATAATGTGCCCATTGTATATATGCATGCACACCCATGCAGGCCGTTGTTGCTCTCTTTTGCACGACACGCACCGCTGCCGTCCTGCCTGGCTGCATGGGCGGAGCACCGTAACTGTTTTGTTTTTCTTCTCTTACGATTGTTTTAAGTGTTTTTAATTTTTCTTTTCTGTTTGCTTTAAAATACTTTAAATGTTTTTTCTTGCTTTTTCTGGTTTTGCGAGTGTTTTTGTTTATTATTTTTTTTTTGCTTTTGTTTTTTGTGTGTCTTTTATTCAAAACTCTTTATTGCTTTTCTTTTGCTTTTGGGGGGCAATCACTATGGACGTGTTTTCTTTTCTACTCTTCCCTCTTTTAATTGTTTGTTGCTGCACTCTTCCTGCGAGGGGTGCCGTGTGTTTCCCGCCCAACTGCTCCACTCGCACACCCACCGACACGCTCATGACGACGGCCCTGTGCGCCTCGCCTGCTGCACGCATGAGGAGGGGCCGCGACGAACGGCGCGCTGAGGGAGCCGTGACGTGTGGGCGTGCGACGAGGGCCTGTGGGGCGGAGCACACATTTCTTCCCTCCTGTTTTGTTTTCTTTGCGGCCAGGGCTGGCAGACACCCGCAGCGCCACACACACAGCCACACCCTGCCGCCGTGTTTTTCTTTAAGGATTTTTTTTGCTTTGCGTGTTTATTTCATGCGGTGGCGCACCCTTCGGTGTCGGCCTCGTGAGCATTTCTCTCCCCTCCGATGATTTCTTTTTCTTTTGCTGCGCTCACTCTCCCGATGGAGTGACGCGACTCCCGTCATGTCTGCGTGCCTCTCTCAGTCCCCACACACGAGTGACTGTGCTCTGCGGGCCGCACTCACGCCGATGAGAGGGCTGAGGGGAGCAGCAACACGCAGATGACCCCATGAAATATAAACGATGTGCGGACACACGGAGGGTCGGACGGTCGAAGCACACGCAGCCATCTTTTTAATTTTCTTTTGTGGGCAAAATACATACAGACAGTTTGGTGTGGCCACATGGCAGCCAGGCGATTTTTTTCTTATTTTAAATTTGTGTGGAGCAGTAATGGACGATTTCTTTTTCATTTATAATTATTTTGTGTGATGGGGTTTACATAAGACGAAGGGGACGTTTTTTTGTTTTCAATAAATATTGTGTGAATGGCCGCTGCTTGGGCTGCAGTGCAGTCATGAGTTTGAGCGGTCTTCTTGTTGTTGTTTCCGTTATGCGTCTCCGCTGTACATTTTTGTGCGTCTCTCCACATACTCTGCTCCCTCTTTTCCACTTCTTTGCTTTGTGTTGCTGCAGGCACAACCAACCACACACACAAGATGCACATTGCAGTGGATTTGGATGCACCTTTTGCAATGCATGCTGGCAGTTGCGTGTGACGCCTGTTGTCTTCTTCCGTGGCCATGAGGAGGGAGGAGAGGGAGCGCACCCCGAGTCTATTTTCCTGCGGGTGTGATGCACCGCGTGTGACTGCGCTGAGTTGGGCTCCGTGTCCCATTGATGGCGGGATGGTAGGAAATTTTGTTGACTGCGGTGGTGACGGTGCGGCGCCGTGCTGGTCCTTGCGCTCTTGTGCTGCTGGGAGTGCTGGAGATGTATCTGGTGATGCGGATGCGGTGGTTGTGCCGGTGGATGTGTCGTGTGCTCCGAGTGACGGCAGCCTGAGCTGTCGCGTGTGTGTGGGCGTGGAAGAAGTGTTCTGCTGCCGATGCTGAGGCTCAGTAGGAGAATTATACTTTCAGTGGCTTTGATGTGCGCATGCATTACAGAGATGGTGAGCTGGGTGCTGTGTGCCATGTGGCCCATGCGGTGCACACATGTAGCAACTGTGCTGCCAGCTGTGAAAGGAAGGAGGAAGGGGCCACCGTTGCCTTCACGATGAATGTGACGACACACAAATACGCCGGCCCTTATGAATTGTGGCGGCGTCATTTTCCCGATGGAACCATCTATCCGCTGCAGGAGCAGCGATGCTGACCGGA